TGAAAAGGCCTCGCTGCTCTTGGGATGTGACACTCTCTCATCATGCTCTGGACTTCAGCCAAGTTCATCCGTTAATAGGCAGCCACAACCACAGTCTAAACCAACCCCCCCTTCCCCTCTCTCCCTCCACCACCCCCACCATTCACCCCATGCTGGCCCTTTTCCCTGACCCTCTCAGTCCTAAAAAACTAGACATCGATTATGTCTGCGCTTTTCCCTTTCCATTCAAGATAAACATAACGCTTCAAGTCCAGGGCACACCCTGGGACCCTTCACAAAGCCATCTATCATTCTGTCTGCCAAACCAGTCTGGCCACACTAAGGCACAACAGAATAATGATCTCAATGTACAATTTTCCCTTTGTGTGCTTGCCCTCTTACTACTAACCTCTTTGCCTCTACCACTTTCTCAGGAGCAGTTGCTATTGACCACAAAAATCATTCTCCCTCTCTCTTTTTCCTTTAATGGGAGGGGTGTGAGGATTTCGTTTGTTTTATTAGTAATTTTGCAACCCCAATCTTTACTCGGAGGCTCAAGGTGGGTTAAAGCATTTTAAGGTGTGGGTGTGGGTATAAAGATGATTTACAAATTCATACAAATTATTTTAAAATGTCCAGTCTTCGTTATCTCTAAAACTGAGGGTGTCACAATTTAAAACTAAACACAATCAATTAAGAGCCAGGCAGTATTGCCTAGCCAAAATTAAAAACAGGCTGTAGCCAGAAATTAGAGTTGGGTGTTGGGGGGGATGGGACACAACTGTAAGTCAATGAGGAACAACAACAGAGCAAATGCCAGTAGTTTAATACAATTCAGTTACAGTAAAAATATTTTTACAACAAAATTAACTGTAACTATTTTTTTGAATGGTTAAGCACTTACTAATAATCCCACAATGCTTTTGCACTCATTAACGTTGCTAGATATGCAAGAATTTTTGACTCATGTATAAGAATCAAGAGCTCCTGTACATTGTAACTAATGAAACCATCCAACCTGCTCTTAATTGGGAGCAAGTTCTTTCAGACTCAACAGGAACTATTTCCAAGAAAACATTCATACAAATGTACTATCCTGTGGGGAGGGGTAAAAATCAAATGAATAGAATTTAAAATATTATGTGTAATCAACTGATGGACAAATCTGATAGTGTGCTTTAAAAGTTGGCTCCTGGTGTGCTTGAGCTCTCTGTGAAAAGGTCTTCGGGGTTGTTGGCGCTGTTGTTAAACCATTTATGGGTATCACTTCATATAGCCAGTGTGTATAAGATTATATTTCCAAAGAATAAATGACTTGTCAGTACTATTTTAGTCAAGGAGAACTACTGTCTTCCTTAAAACAGCCTGTCATCTATATGGGAATACTGTAATGCTGACTTGGCTGTAGGGTGGGGTGGGAGGCGCAGAGGAATGCTACTAAGAAGGTTGGTGGACAGATTCTGCCTCATTTTCCTTATGATTAAACCCACTTCTGACTCTACCCAGAATTAGTATAACCATCTTTAAAAGAATATCCAAAGGCCTTCCTTCTCCCAGTCAAAATACCACATTCGGACACTGAGGTTTTAGGGGAGGGATGCAGGTCAAGGGACCAAAACAGTGGTAAAACTCAAGACTGTGGCCTGTTTAAAGTCATAAGGAACCCTTGGGGGGGGTTGGCATAACCCCAACTACACCACCATCATGGAAGCAAGATAATCTAAAATGTAAATAGATACTGAGCACAGAGCGATCAACATAGTGCAAATCACAGTGTCCAAAGAATCAGTACTTGCAGATCAAATGACAAGATTATTTACACAGGATCCTGTATACGATAATGGAAACTTTGACTTGAACCAGAGAGTCCAAATCATCCACAAAATTGTCCCCCAAAAGATGTTACTGGGCATAAATCTATGCCACAGTCATTCACACCAGAACTTTTGGGAAGGATTTGTTTTCCCCCAGTAGCCCACGTTCTGCAAATACACAAATGAACATACTTCTATAAACTGTTATTAAAATGAAGTAGGTAAAGACTTTTTGGGGTTTAGCTGTTTTCAGCACAGAAAAGTTTTAGATGATACTGCTCTTGCATTAAAACAAGTATTTTATTCTATACTTTTCAGTGGTTTTTTTAAATAATAACATATTATTATCATTTTAATTTTCAAAAATTCACAATCATACAGAATAATAAATCAACAAAGTGAACACTGTACCCCTCCCTCCCCAGGGGATAGTCTTTCAGTATGATTTTTTTGCATTTTCTGGGCAAAATGGTCAAATGAAGCAGTGTCCCCATTCTTTATGTTCTTATCCTAACAGGTCTTTTCCAAAACGTGTGTATTTAACTGGTGGCTTCTTCAATACTGGATGAAACAGTTCCAGCCGACAACAGAGCCAACCTCCTTGTGCCGACGTCCCTTTTAAACAATTCATACCCAGTCCAAGATTTCAAAAAGGGGGGTTTAAAAAAATCTACATAACAAATTATACATTGTGATGTAGTCAATACATTCTCGTTAAGAGTAATAGCCCATCCTATAGTGTAGCATGCAGAAGCACCAGAGCATGGAAACATGAATTATGCGCCTTGCAGTGCCACAAGGCAATCACTCAACAATCTACTCCAGCGTCGGAAGCTAGCCACACTCCCTGTATCCAAACAGCAGCACCCACGGCAGCCCCCTTTATCCTATGCGGAGGGCCATACATCAGGGGTAGAGCACATGCAGATTCAACCCCTGGCAAAAGCAAGTAGAGCTAAGGGAGAAAACTTTCAGCGCTACCAATCAGAACACACAATACTGAGCTAGACGGACAAATGGCATGACTTGTTTCTGTCACATTGCAGAGTTCCAGATCAGTTGTGAGCCCCTAATGACCTATGCCCATCCTGTTCTGTCCTGTATATCTTGCACAATATAGGAACCGGCTCGCCAACTCATACGAATTAGCGTATATACTCGAGTATAAGCCAACTTTTTCAACACATTTTTTATGCTGAAAAAGCCCCTCTTGGCTTATACTCGAGTGAGACGGGCAGAGGCAGCGGAGGGACAAGCAGCCCGAAAGGAGCCCTTTCTCACCACCGCTGCCGCCCGCCTCTCACAAGGGCAGGCACAGGAGCCATGATTGGGAGAAGGAGGGCTCATTTTGGGCTGCTCCTTCCTCCTCCTCCGCCTTTGCCACTGCTGGCGGCAGAGGAACGAGCAGCCCGAAAGCAGCCATTTCGGGCTGCTTGTTCTTCCTCCACCGCTGCTGCCACCACCAGGTTTGTAGTGTGGTGAACTGGCTTATACTCGAGTCAATACGTTTTCCCAGTTTTTTGTGCTAAAACTAGGTGCCTTGGCTTATATTTGGGTCGGCTTATACTCGAGTATATACAGTAATTCCTGGAAATATGAACATATGTTTTTCCTTGTTTAATTAGACTCAGGATCCAAAATATCTACTGATTCTAAACTTGCAGAGACTTGCATTTAACAATATTGTTCTCCGTATTATTTGACTGATGTTATTACCATGAGTTTAGAAAATAAAATTTTGTAATATTGCAGATTTTAAATTTTTCCCCCCATTTGGGGCGTAGAGCTCAGCTAATATATCATTTTCAATTAGCTTTATCTCTACATTTTTTTAATGAGTCAGATACAGGTTCTAGCAGAAAACTGCAAACGGGACCTAAGGGGGAGAAAAAAATGGTGGTGGCTAATGATTCTACATTTGTAAGTAAGACCCAGCTGCATGGTTACTTCCTATCCAAAACATGAATTGCCTTTCAGAATTTGCATCCTCTGCAATGTTTATTAACCAACATTGCGAGGGTAAGGGGAGGGGATTCGGGTGGGTGTTCCCCCCCCTTGCTAGATCCTTTGTTTCACCAGGACAGCTGCATGCCATCTCCACCCCCTCCCAGCCATCCCCTCCTAAAGAAATAATTAAATCCAATTAGGACCGGAAAATAATTTACATTTTAGTTGAATGTAACAAGGAGTTGGGGGTGGGGTGGAATTATCAGACAAAATAAAAAATAGAGCCTTAAAATTTAATTTAACCACCTTGTTCCTCATTTAGAGCTATGGGGAAGCATTTTAGATTCAGAAAGTCCACTTCTTAATGTTAAGTAGTGACGTATTTAACAATAGCAACATATGCAATAAAAAGTGAGCCTATTAGAATTCATTCTTCCATTAATCATTCTCTGAACAAGAGAATCCTGGTCTACTATTACGTATGCTACAATTTGGTTCTGTCCCCTCCATTTATGGTTCATTTAAATGGTTTCCATTGCAACGGATTAGTAAGTAACAGAATCTTGGTATGTGAATGGCAAAAAAATTCCTTGGCATCGGCATATGTTTGCTGATCGAATTTCAGATCATATGTCTTTCATTATTGTGGCTTTGCCTCAAAACTGTTTGCCACGGTTATGCATGTTGGCCTCAGACACTCCCCCCACCCCACCCCCACCTGTGGAGAGCTTTGAAATCAGAAATATTTGGAGGGGAACAAAAAAAAAGTCAGGGTTCCTTGCCTTTTCTTCTTTTAAAAGCACCTTCCACTTCCCTCAAATTATGCTGGTAGCCCTTATCCTAAAATTTACTGGACCAATTAAAAATACTGCTTTGGATGGAACCCAGTAACAGGTTGCCCAGTTGCTGTAATAGTGTGATTATGTCAGCATAGCATGAGTGTTACATGGGCAAACCCCCCACAAAACTGGTATATGGAGAAGAAAAGGGGGCTATATGGGGGGAGAAGGCAAAACCAGAAGAAAATGGAAGATTTTTGAAGTCTTTTTGTCTTTCATTTGGAATTATCTGTACATTTGACATTTGAGAAGTTTCTGAACTGCCACAAATGCACCAGACTTTAAATCTGTGTGCAATTTACTCAGAAACAGAACAAAATCTGCTTACACTTACCAATATGCTTCACTGAGGATGCCATAATGTTTTAAAGCAGTTCAGTGAGGCCATACTGCATCTTTCTTTCTTTCTTTCTTTCGTTTTAAGGTAACAAAGAAATGCAAGCCTTTATTCTGCTTTGGAGGACTTTGTAATATTTTCATTCTTTAGCATCAGAAAAGCACGTATGGCAATTGTTCACAAATACCAGAAGCTACAACCAGTAAAAATGCTCTCCTATCTGCTCTACTGGAGTTTGGACAAATCCCTGTACATCATACTGTTGGGTTAGCAGTCCGACAATGAAAGAGAAATGGTTCAAACTTTTAAAAAAATAAACAAGTTGATATTGGGTGCCTCTTTCTACTGCTCCAACACATAGGTGGAAATGCTTACTTCCTTATTGTTCCCAAATTTCCTGTTAGCCAGTTTATCCATTTCATGCATCTTCAGATACATCCATGACCTTGTCAGGATTGGGATTAGACCGACGAGGAGAATGTGGAAGAAGCAGAAGGGATGATAAATTGTAGAAACCAAAGATGGAGGTTCCCACCTTCCGTCTCAGGTTGGCGGGAGGGATATGGTAACCTATTGGGACACCTTCATTGCTTCTGCCTGCTGCTGAGCCTGTAGATGTACTGGCCCAAATAAAGATCTCTCTCTTACACACAAGTTAGAGCCTCTGTTGTCATGTTTTGGGCAGGAGTCAGGGCACTTCATATCTTACAAAGCAATTCCATCAAGAAAATGATCACACATATGGAATCAATTATACATACACTTGGACACAGACCAAAGGCTAGGAAGTCAGAAAGGGCAAAACCATTACACACACACACCCCTGGAACTCATAGATGGACCTCATCAGTTCATCTTACTGCCTAAAAAAGTTCACAAGCTTAATAATTTATTGGTGTTCTGGATACTGTTTCCCAGCTGAATATTAACAACTTCAAACTGAAGCATGCTTTTAGCATGGTGTGGCTGGAGTCAGAAAGGGCAGCACCAAGTCCCCTTGGAGGTTGAAACGGGAACTTGGTGCTATTTCTTGCAAAATGGCCACTTCTTCGCACAGTTTATTTTCTTTCATTAACCACTTTCTTTCATTAAAGGTATCACTTTTCTGTGACCCAATTTAGCTTGTTAAAGCCAGCAGCAAATGTGTATAAAATAAAAACAAATGAAAACAACAGCATCATTAAGAGGCTTAATTTTGGAAGAGCTTGTTGGGGTACAGGAACTGGAAAAAAGTTCCATTAGAGAGCAAAGGCTTAGCACATTTCACTCTGCCATCACCGCCCCGTCTCCTCGCCACTTTACACAACCACTTTGGTAAGCTGCGGGACTGAGAATATCAATACCAGATTTGAGAATAGAACCTAACCTGGCAAGTTACTACAGATTGGGTGCACTTAGCCCATTTAGATCACACGTGGTGCAGAAGGAAATGTGAGTGCAAACATTGCCCCCCTATGATTGGCAGGTGTTATGAAGCTTCTGGATTTGCTATGCCTGATATAAATATACCATGCCTGGAGATCAGACCAGTACTTTCTGCATGCTTGTTCAAGCTATTTACCGTAAGCAACCTATTCTTGGGAAACCTCTGGGTCGGGATTTCAGTTAGAATGGCCGGGTTTAAAAAAGGGGTAGAAAGAGGTATTGACTCACTTGCTGAAATTCCCTCTTCTATACAACTGTTAAAAGGTTTGGAAACCCTGTCTTTTTCACCTGGACTCCCTGATTTCAGTACAGTGGTACCTCGGGTTACATACGCTTCAGGTTACATATGCTTCAGGTTACACACTCCACTAACCCAGAAATAGTGCTTCAGGTTAAGAACTTTGCTTCAGGATGAGAACAGAAATCGGGCTCCGGCAGCGTGGCAGCAGCAGGAAGCCCCATTAGCTAAAGTGGTGCTTCAGGTTAAGAACAGTTTCAGGTTAAGAACGGACCTCCGGAACGAATTAAGTACTTAAGCTGAGGTACCACTGTACAGCCTTGGCCTGACTCTTGACCAAGTGAATGAGCTTCAAGTTTTTCTTTATTTTTGATTCCCCAGGAGAACATGTGCTGCTATATTGTTTTACTGTGCACCCCTTTCCTGTGTTGTTGTTTTTCCTTTATAAGACCTAATTATACCATGCTATGGCGATTCACTTTCTCCAGCTTGGCAAGCGCCAAGCAAACATTTAGTCCTCACAGATGAAGAGATTGGTTTTTGAAACTTCACCAAACATCTTCAAGGCTGAGATTATTCTGGCTGACCCAGATTTTCAGTGACCGGGCTTCAGCGTCAATAACTTCCATTGCCTTTCTTGCCCTTTACCATGACAAGCTGGAGCATAATAAACATTCCAAAATAAGCTAATAGGTTACATTTGCATAATGCTTATAAGTTGCAAAATGCACCTTTTCTTGGCACAAAATTGGTGCCATGTACGTAAAGAATCCATATTTCATTTCTTCAAATAAACAACAACAACCCACAGTATATTCTGTCCTGTACTAACCATTTCATCACACACAATCAGGTGTGAAAACCACAACTGCAAGTGGGGTTAGATCCTAATGATTAGGAAGTCTGCAGAACATTGGAAACTAGTCGCAGGAAGATGAGGAATGGCCTAGATTGACACAGGCACGTATCAGTCCTCGTGTGGATTTGCTAACTAAAAGTAGCAAACTAGCTCTCAAGCCATGGTAAGTGTGGGTGGAAGGCTGAGGGACAACAGCTTCTCTCAAAATAAATGTTAGCACAGATCTTGCATATTTAAGCATTCAAACCAGTCATTTTCAGCACAATCATTGCACTAACCCTATAAGACAGGTCTGTATCATTATCCACATATTGCAGGTAGACTTTGTGGTCCTGCCTAAGGCCATCTTGACGGTTAATGGCAGAAGCAGCATTTGTTGTGAACCTTGCATCCTCCAGCTGCCTTTTGGCCGCGATGCTACAATGACTCTCAAAAATGGCGAAAAGCAGCTCAGAAACCAGACCAGTTAGGACTTGAGGGGCCATCTCATACATTTTGCAGCAACGTATAAAGGTTTGTGTACACCATGTGGGGAGTTACAGCCAGTCACTCCTCTCTAATTGAGCACAACTGTACAATACTAGTGTTTTCAAACAGTTATTTGTGGCATTCGCATTTTACATTTTTTAGGTGTATGACTACAATACATAGACATATATAATACATTAAGAACGTTAGAAATACTCTCTGAATAAGACCAAATGTCCATCTATCCCATCATCCTGCTTCCTGCTGTGACCAACCAGATGCCCCTGGAAAGTCTACAAGGAAAACATTAAGGGTGCCTCCAGCCAGGGCACCCTTGCATTATTAATATTGTAAACAGATCACAGAGGTATTGTAAGTAGGCCCCTGGCAATAGGTTTTTCGGCTTATTGGATTTTCCCCAGAAATGGAAAAATGTGGGTGCTGGGGGAGGGGAGCTGCATTTACTAACACCAACACCACAACAAGCACTCATTTGGAAGCACCTTAATACAATAATTCACTCTGTGTTGCTTCCTGGCAACTGGTATGCTATGGCATATTGTTTCTGATCCTGGAGGTTACATAGAGCCATCATGACCAGCAGCCATAGATAGCCCTATCCTTTGTGAATTTTATCTAGCCTTCTTTGAAAGCCACCTCCTCTATCCACCCCACCCCTCTAACACACAGGCACACACACACACTAAATGCTTTCAACACCTGAATCTTAGAAGTAGAATGAACTAGGCAAAAAGTATGCAATTACATGCAAATTTACTTAATTTCCATCATTTCATCTCAGCATCTAATTTGGGTTTCCTTGATGTGGAATTTTTCTTTGTTTTGTTTTTAAAACCCAGACCCTGTTGCATACACAGGCAGAGAATGAATGGGACACGAGAAAGAAAAGAACTGGGGGTGCGGGAGAGAAAAAGAAACTATAGGCAAGAGGAATATTCAGAGGCCAGGAGCACTCTGCTACCTTATGAGTGCATCCACACAACTATATGCCATATTACCTGGAAGGGAACCTCACTGGCTTCAATGTAATATTAATATATCAGTTACATTCATTGAAAGGGCTGAGACCATTGAGAAGTAGTACTGTTGTTTTTTAATAGTGCCACTTTGCGAACAAGCTTGTAAGAAAATTCATAAGAAAATTCTGTAACCCCTTGTTCCTACATACCTGTGTCAGTCATTTCAGTGGGCTAAGCAAAAGAAAACTAGGAAGAGGCACCAATTCAGCATCAATAAGTAGAGGAAATGAGAGAGAGAGGAGGAGGTGTTTTGTCCATATATATATATTCCAGCTATGCGTTATTCAAAATCATAACAATATCCCACACTTACCAGGCGGTCTGTGGGCAACTCTCACATGTACCAAGTGAGTAAATATTCTGCAAGTCTGTTGTAATATTCAACCCTGTGGTTAACTCTGGCATTACTAACCCTCTGAAACTATTTGGATATCAACGGAAGCCAAGAAGAATTAACATTTGTCTTAACCACATAATTTTATTCTGTTTTAGTGTCTTAACTTTTGTATGTTTATTGCTGTATTTTTTCTTGATTTTATTGTTTTGTCCTTCTGTAAACAGCGTATAACTTTTATGAAATAAAATCAATCAATCTGGGACTTGAATCCCTGCAAGGTTAATATAGAACTCACGTCATGCAACAGAACCTGAGTCCTTCTTCCTGGTGGCCTCCTATGCTAGCAGTTCCCTCCTTAAACATAACGAAGAGTCTTGTGACACCTTGAAAGACTAACAAATTTATTACAGCATGAGCTTTCGTGGACTTTCAATGAAGTAGTTTCTTGACTTCCTACTCTTGGATCCATCAACAGATATACCCCGGAGCTCTAATTTCCCAGGTTTCTACCTTCCAGGAGCCATTTCTACCATGCTGCAGAGGATTTGGGAATGTGATGTAACCTAGAGCCCCGGTGTGGCAAGGTGGAGCTGCCCGCTCAACATGTCCATAGTGCAGACTGCGCAGGCACATGAGTGGAAGTGCCAGATTGGCTCCACCCGTGTGTGTGCACTGCTGAAATCTCACCACCACCCTGCCCTCCTCCATCCAGAAGCGGCAGCCACACCTGTGTTGGGAGGGCAGCTCCATCCCTCCTCATGGGCCACTACTGTTTGTAAGGTGTACACCTAATTCATGCAGGCTGCCCTGGACTTCGCCATTGTTCCACATGAACAATGAAACTGAAACAAGTTTTTATATGTGCTTTTGCTGTTAATTGCTTTGAGAAGTTTCCCGGGAAGTGATTCATGAATGAAATTAATTAATTAATTGTGCCTTACACCATGTTGGGAAAGGGCCATAGCTCAGGGATAAAGCATAGGCTTTGTATGTAGAATGTCCCAGGTTTAATCTGCACTGCAGCTGGGAAAGTCTCTGCAAGTCGGAACAGATAATAGTGGGCGAAATGAACCAATGGTCTGGCTCTGTCTAAAGCAACATCCGGTGTCTCATACATACATACATACATACACACACACACACACACACACACATTACATTTGAGGACTGCATTTTGGAGGGAGGGAGTACAAGAAGGAAACCAAGGTGGTGTGTTCCAGGTTTTTTTATATATATAATGGAAGAACAAAGTCTCCATACCTTCTCATTAAGCAAACATTTCAGTAAATCATTTGAAAAAGTGAGAGATTGCATTGCATTCCATTTTACTATTATCAGCCCTCTGGCCGGGGATGGGGGGGAGGAACAGGGAAACCTAGTGCATTTCATCCTTCTATGCCTGTTTTACCTAAGAGGGGGGCATGTGCTAGCTATAGACCGAGATATGGCTGAAATTTGTTAAAAGAAATGTCTCCCCCAAATGGGAGCAATTTAATTCTACACTTCCACAAACTGTACTTAACATTAAAAGAGAACGGATAAAACATATTTAATTACTCCAGGTTACACTTCTAATTCCTCAATTCACTAAAGGAAACTTGGCAAGAAAGAAGGCATCATTTTGTTGCTTTCGACTGAAGCATCCGAGGGAGAAGAGCTACTGAGGCAGCTAATACACAAAACATGATCAAAAGTGATTAACAACAGCTTCATATGCAAATTGCATTAATGAAGGAGTGCAAAGTCATCATGTAAATTAAATATGTCAAATCTCTTGGTGAACTTTCAATCTTGAGGAAGGGAGGGAGGTTGAAAACACACTGCTTTAATTTTTTTTTCTACATCATCAATTTTCTGAGATTGGAAAAAAAATCTAAGAATCTTAGCGCTATAAACAATTTTCACCTTTCCCCCCCCTCCCCTCTCTCTCCCCCTCTCCTGCAGCAGCCTGACAGTTTGGCCTGATGTGTGCAGACTGCACATGTTAATAGGCCAATCAAAAATGCAAAACAATTCGCAATTACTGCAAGGACCTAATGGTCATTAGAATTTACAACTAGGTAATGAACTAAAGTCTGCCCACACCATGCATATTCATAAAGCAATTTAGCCTTTGAAGATTAAAGAAGTGCTTAAAATTCAAATGAGCTTTAGCAAATTATCAGGAAGATTCATCCAAAAAGCAAAAAGGGTTTTTCTTCCTATGATTTCCTCCTCCTTTTTTTAAAATGCAAAATTGTTCTCTCTTCCAGACTGCAATTCAACTTCAACAGAGGCCTCCGAGTCAAGCTAAAGGCGCTGAAGACAAACAGAGGCCGAAAAACAAATGCGGAGGACTTTGTTCAGAAACCTAAGCCCTTCAGAGCCAAACATATCTCTAAACATGGTAATTTATCAAAAGCAACACAGACTCGCTTATGGGTGATATTGTGAGCTGCTCTCAGAGAACAGATTAACAAGATTTCTGCCACCCTCCAAAGAAAAAAATAAGAAGAAACCACTCTCCCCTCCGGACAAATCTTCCATGTAAACATCAAATGTATTATAAAAACATTCTCCATCAAAGTACACTGGTATTAATTTTTTAAAAAGGAAGAAAGAAAGAAAAAGTTTGCTCTTTGAAAAGAAGGGGTAAGTCAGAATGGCTAGGAAGGAATGAAAATGAAGGCAAACGTTTAAGAGCATGATAAAGTTATTTGATTTTGTGTGATATTTAGAAAAATCTAAACACCTGCCATTTTTAGAGGATCAGTTCCAACGAGGATGTCAGCTGACGGGGAGTGGGATTGTCAATTATATAAGCCCATGATGTAGGAATCTACTTCCTAAAAACTGTCGATATTTAATGGCAAATCCTAGTGGGTATTCTCTGAAGTAGACCTATAGAACTCAAGGCTCACTGAAGTAAGCACTGCTCAACATATCTAAGATTCATGGTGGCATGGAGAGCTGTTACATTTACCAGAGTCTCATTTAATATAGCAGTAACAAGAAAAACAGTAACAATAATCTCCATTTGCCTCCAAGTACACATCTCAGGCAACCTCTATGGTCTGCTGAGATTGGGATCTCGATAGAATTCCCTGTACCAGGGATAGCTGGGGCCTGAAAATAATTAATGGTAGGTACTGCCATCAACACAAAAATTCCTGTCATTGAAACTCCGAGGTGCAATTCAAACATTGCTACATGGTGAAAAAAATGCCTCCATGTTGTAACCATTGGTTTTCCACACTGGTCAGCCAGCTTGCCTGGTAATTACGAAAGCCACCCCACACAAGGTTATGTTCAACAATGGCAAAGGTACTCACCTACAATGCTGCCAACCCATGTGAGAAGGCAATTCCAGCTGTGATTTGAAGCTCCCGCTATGCATTGGCGGGTGTTTCCCCATCAGCAACTGAGTCACACCTAACAAAGCCTTAGTATCTTCTGGAAGCAACACAGCTATATTTATTTTAGCAGGTGTTTGGTGGCCAAAAAATCAGTAGGAGATTATTTCGGCAATTGTTTCTTTACAGCCTATATTTTGCAAGGTAAGCTGCCAATTGATTCAGGAAAATTTTCAGTCATTTAAACACCTACCTTTTAATCGATTCATCAAGTTTAAATAAATGTGCATATTCCCAAAGACAATATTTGGCGGCTTCTTGTGATGTTGAAAGAACTGTAAGATGACTACAATTCAATATGCAAAAGCTATCATTCAATGTTAGGACACCTTTATGATTTTCTTTTTAATTACCTATTATAGTATGCCATCAAGATCAAACTAGCCTCAAAAAATGAGTAAGCTCTTCATTCTCAAAACCACTGGGTAAAATGTGTACCCCACCAATCAACTTAAGCTTTACGGAACAATACTATGGAGGGGAGGGGAGGAGAATCTGGGGTGGAGTTACCACCACTTCCAGAGCCTCAGGGCAGGAAGTGGAGGGTGCAGCTTTTCAGAGAGTGGAGGGTAACTCCTTTCACTTTGGTTTGTTTCCTAACGCAACTGACTACAATGGGACGGAATCAACTACCCAAACTCTAGAAGTGGTGTAGTTTCGGGATTTTTAAAAAATCAACAGGATCCTGTGGATTTACAGCTTCTCAGGCACCCCAGCACCCCAAGATGCCTTGCTTTTAACCCCCACTGCTGGCAGGACAGAAGTGGAGTTTTTCACAGCACCGCTGAAGGAGACCTCCATAAGCAGATAGGTCATTCCACCGGTGGGCCTCTCTTTCTGCAAACAGAGCAGTACCTCCAACACATCCTATGGCCCCCTTGGTCAAGCTTCTGGGGAGCATAAGACTGTATCTTACACTGAACAATCCAATATAGTGATTCCAGTTTGAAGCCCTATGATATACCGATGGTTATATATTAAAAGGACAAAGATACTTGTAGGTGTATAAATAAATATAATGGGAGGAGATTTTAGGAGGGTGCCGGGCACTGCAGGGGAAAAGGGGGGCACTCAAAAACCGCCCCTCTCCATTCGGACAACACATTCCTTCCACCAGCAGTCATTCACCACTGGGTACCACTGACATACTTACACACACACACACACACACACAACAAACGCAAATTTTCACAACCCTCTCAACCCAATCCACCCCCAGTTTTACAACTAGTAGTAACTAGTTGTAAATCCCCTCCCTCTTCCTCACTTTTACACCTTTCCAGTTTAATGTGTTTGGTTTGCAAATATGCCCTCCTGATTAAAAAGATGTCTGAATATGTGCCATGAAGATAATAGGTGCTGTTGAGAGAAGGACCACAGTGGCTTATACCGCTGCTTTGTCTTGAGATAACTGTGACATTAGGAAAACATCTTGAGTACTTGGGTTTTCTAAGAAAAGGTAAAGTCATCTGCCTTCAAGGTGAACTGTCATTGTCAGCTTCTTGCAAAGCCATATAATTTCATGTTCTCCAACTCTTTCCAAGTACAGTATCCCAATAGCTAATCATTACTTACGGTCTCTGAGAATACCACAATCCTGGCCATCTTTACTTCCTAGACTGTCTTTCTCCTCGACACGTCCTTCGCTAACTCATCACATCTTAATGTTTATTAGAAAGACTAGGATTCAGGATTGCGTGAAAGGCGCCATCAACAGACATCTGTATCAGCTACAGGTTTCCAGTTTGGACCAATTCTTTTTGACACTAACATTACTTTACATGAGTCAGGCAGGAGGAGGGTGGATATGGAATGTGACAGAGTAAATCGAAATCGGATTAAAAACAAAAGTTTAGACACTAGCAGGGAGATGCCTGGCGATGGCTCTTGAAGGCAAAATTGCTCAAGCTGTCTTCACGTCACATCCCTTTTGAACACTTCACTTCCTAACTCTGGGCTGCTTCCAATATTGCACGTTACATGCATGATACACATGGCAGAAAGTCTTATGTGTGAAATAAACTTCTTTAAAAAATCTGTAACAAGAAAAAGTAAATACTAGTCACCTGTATAAATTATGCAAACATTGCATGGTATATTCTGCAGTTGTTGGCTTTTTTGCATAAATTATTTTCCTAGTTATGGTGAAGGGCTGGGGAACATGCACAGGGCAAAGAATGACTAGTCCTATTAATATGCCCTCCTGTGTCTATTTTTTTTTAGCAAGGAACAACCAAACACTTTCAGCCAAAGCAGAGGTGGCACAATTGATCCACTT